ACACTAAAAAGAAACAAACAAAAAAGGGAAATCTGTAAGCAGATTTACAGAAAAGACAGCCATTGTTTTTTCATAACACAAAAGGCTCTTAACAAAAGTGTGTCAAATCGACCCTCTAGCTACCTGCTTCCCCTTCTTCTTTTAAATGGACAGCATCCATTTCTTCTATATCTTTCCAGATGTGTTTAATGCATTAGGTATTTTTCTATACAAATGCATGTTATTAATATTAATCTCTTACCAGAGATAAGTCCCCATGCGTGTAACTTTTTTCTAGTTTATTTTAAAATATTTATTAAAATTTCTGTTATAAAGTTGATCTAGAAATTATTTTTCTTTAGCATAAATTTTTAAGCTATTTTTGTGTTTTCATTTTTTCTTCCCTCTCTTCATTATTAAACTTGATATACTGGGAGGAGGAACATGGCAAAACACTACAATCAGAGCTCTAGAAGGAAACACTGGGAATTTGACAGCATATTTATAAGCTTTTTCCAAGCCTGATACAGCAAAATGCCTGAGACCTCTAAGATCATCCAAATACTGAACTGACTTCTCACTTTCTTTGTTTGTTTTGTTGTTGTTGTTTGTTTGTTTCCCGACACTGGGGCTTAAACCCAGGCCCTTCCTTGCACAGACCCATATCCCTAGCCTTCTTTTAAACTTTAAATTTTGAGACAGGGTCTCAAAAAGTTGCTAGCTAACTTGCCTGGGTTAGGCTCAAACTTACGACTCTTCTGCCTCAGCCTCCCAGAGTACTGGGATTACAGGTATGTGCCACATCTGACTCTAACTCCATTAATTGTTGAAGGGAGTCAGAAGACTAGGATCTTTACTTATCTCCTAGGTTTATTCTTTCTTGTTCCCTAACTCTTCCAATCTGCTTTTCTGTCAGCAACCAAAGTGAACTTTCAGAAATGTAAGTCATGATATGCTCTGCTGTGAATCCTGCACTGGTTCTTAAGGATGCTGTAATGAAATCCACCTTATTGAAGGCCACAAAGACCTCACTGGTCCCACCCCTGCCACCTCCCTGCCCTCATGTTCTCTTTGCACATAGTCCGATCATGTGAGTCCTAAGTCACCTCCTAGAACATGCTAATACTTTGCCAGCCTAAAGGACGTTAAACTTGCTGGTCCCTCTGCTTTCCATATGGTTAGGCTTTTTGTTGGAGGCCTTTCCTTTCAAGGTACTACATTTCTCCCCTCCTGGTGGGGATTTAGCTCAGTGGTTCTGCTGCTTGTCTCACAAGGTCCCAAGTTCAATCTCTGGTACCAATAAATAAATAAATAAAAACATACATACATACATACATACATAACTAACTAACTACATTTCTCCCCTCCTATTCTCTTTCTTAGCACTTAATGCAAATAGCAATTATTGACTCATTTGTCCCCATCACTGAGTGTGACTTTGTTTCCATCCCTGTTATATTTCTAGTGCTCTGTGCTATGTTGAATGCAAGAATGCAAACTTTCTTAAGCTGAGCAGAACCTATAAAAAGAGTGGCTTGCAGTGGCTCTTTGGTTCTCACACTGATTTACACATCAGTGCTCTCTGGAGAACTTTAAAAAAACAAAAACAAAAAACCAAATTCCTTGCCCCAGACTTGAGAATTCTGATTTAGCAGCTTCTGGCTGGGGCCCAAGGAGTCAGTGCATTTTATAACTCCTTCTAGAGACTCTCATACAAAACCAGATGACCCATGATGTCCTCTGTGGCTCTCTCATGCTATTGATTATCTTAGAGCTGGCTACTTTCTTTTGTTGTCCTAGCTGGATTCTGAGGTGAGAAGCTGCTGAGGCGGCAGCTGTGGAGCATCATTAAAAGAAAGCACAACTAAATCATCTCTGTGTCAAATGAGGCTAATTACACCAGCCAAACTCTCCCTGTCAGCACACGGATAAGAGGCTTCCCAGCTGGGAGAGATTTACCCACTTCCTGCCCTCCGTCAGCAAGATGCAAGTAAGATGAAGCTGCACCCCTCTTAGAGATTGCTACATTAGTACCATCATCAAAAGAAGCATTTGGTCACTTGAAAAGAATCAGAATTCAATTCATTCATATGGAACTGGAACTGAAAGCTTACAAGTAAAACTTCAAATCATTTTCTTGGAAGAGCTTCAGATTTACATGCAAATTGTGGTTTTCTGTTTTCTCTATACACAGTTGCATCTAAAACTTTCTCCACTTCTGCAAAAGCAACAAGATTTTTCAAGGTTCTTTTATTGCCCTTGATATAATTAATGGTTTCCTTAACCGTGGAATTTAAAAAAATGTACTACATTTTATAATTGCTTTTCTTTTTCTTTAAATGGTTCTGTGGTTATCCCTAAAATAAGAGAATAGCAATATTTGGGCCACGGATTTAGATCAGTGGCAATGCACCTGGCTTGCAAGCATAAGGTCCTAAGTTTGATCCATGGTACAAAAAGAGAGAGAGAGAGAAAGACAGAATAATAATATTTAACATTTATTGGTGGCTTAGTCTGTGCTTTGCACTTTTTCTATTTAATTTATGCTATATATATATATATATATATATATAGCCTCATTAAATTCACATGTAGGAATTATTATTAGATATGGGCCAATAAGTTGCTCCATCATGTACTTACTGAGGACTGCGCTGGGACTGGAACCCAGACAGGCTGACTCCATACCTTTCTCGTTTATATTTATTTAGATCAGTATTTCCCAAAGTATGAATTTTTGGAAAATTAATTATACAGAATATTGGTAGGATATTTTGGAAAGAAAAAGAGTATGAATTAACTAAATAAGATTGGGGAATATTGGGTTGAAGAAATAAGGTTTCTTTAAGCATAGGATTTCATAGTCTCTATACGCTCACGTGCTTTACAAACATCTAAAACACAAAAGTAGAATATGACATCTCCTAAACCTCCTTGAAAACAACACTCTTTTTGGCTGAGTCTCTTTATTTATTTTTGAGGTCCATGGGATCAAACTCAGAGCTTCATGCTTGCTGAACACACACTCTACCACTGTGCTGTGAACTAAGGCTATGAAATGATGTCCTGCAAGTCAGAGGTCTACAGAGTGGTGACCTCCTTGTCTGTGAGCTCTTACTCGCGTTTTACAGGGACTAAAGGAAGAAGAGATGGGTGAGAAGTCAGTGGTAGGCTTCCAGGATGTACCTATATTCTCTGCTCTAAAACTTATCTTTCACATGATCATCACTTTCTGGGGGATAATTTAGCGATATCTATGGAAAAACCCTGTCAACTTTGGGTGCTCAAAATGAACCCCTGTGGTACATCAAGGCATTAGAATCTCCATTTGAAGCTGCTTACATTTGGCTTTTTTCCCTTTTTCTTTTTATAAATTTCAAGATTTTATACATATGTAGACATTCCTTGTTATTCATGGGGACTCATTTCCTGACCACCTGCAAATATCAAACTCCACATTAGCATAGTGTTTGCATGTAATATATGTACATCTTTCCACATATTTTAAATCATCTCTAGATTACTTTAATTTCTAATACAATGACAATGCTATGTAAATAGTTGTTATAATGTATTGTTTAGGGAGCAAGGAGGAAAAGTCAATACATGTTCAGTACAAATATGATCTTTTTTCCCAAATAGTTTTGATCTGTGGTTGGTTGTCTGTGGACACAGAACCCTTGAATATGGAGAGCCACCCTTACATAATATTGCAAGAGTAACATATGTGTATACTTTACAAAAATAATGTACTGAAGTCGGGTGGAATAATATTGAGGATCACTTAGCCATTTACATGAAAAACATTTACTTTCTTCATATTCTGTGACCTAGAAGTTTCACTTGGAATTTATCCAACTTACCCTAAGGAAACAAACTTGCATGTGCATAAATACATATTTAGCTATGAGGGTCTTATCGAAGAAGGATTTCCGCTTGTGGGAAATGAACAGTCTTAATATCCAACAAATATGATTGGTTGCAAAAATGATATAGTTTACAAACTCCAGTTCCCAACAGGAAACTCTTTAAAAAATGTGTTGCAGTAGAATACATAATTGCCCAAAATAAAATTTCCTAATTTTTCAGTCAAAAAAACTCAGCTGACAGGACTGAGGCTCATTGGTAGAGCACTGGCTTAGCCTGTGTAAGACCTGGGGTTTGACCCCCAACACCACAAAACAAAAAGCAGATGACACAGATAATAGAGCTCATAATCCTAAAAGAAATGACTGGGATGATAAATCAAAATGTATATAGTGGTAGCTCTAAGCAGTGGTGAGATAAGGAAAATTTTTCATTTTTTCTGTACCTTCCTATGTTAACTTTCTTTTTTTTTTGGTACCAGGGATCGAACTCAGGATCTTGTGCTTTCGAGCCAGACATGGTACCACTGAGCTAAATCCTGGCCCCTATGTTAATTTTTGTATAATGAATATTTCTGAATAAATTTTACATTCACGAAGTTCAAAGTTTGAAAATGATAAAAGGATTTATAGTAAAAAAAAATTGTATAGCTCTTTCAGTCAACCTATTCCTCTTTCAAGTGTTCAAGCTTTGGGTTTCTTGAGTACCCTCTTAAGGACCTATCACATTGATATTTTTATATTTACATATGTTCTTATTGCCCTTGATCACGTGAATACCATGTGATACAAACTGTTTCACATTTTGGGGTACTTCTTATGTGTGGGAATATACCTGAAGGGAACATTTCTAAAAGTGGAATTGCTGGATCAAAGCCAATATACATTTGTAATTTAAATAAATATTGTTACATTGCTCCCTGAAATTACAAAACCTTCTTCTCATGATATCTTTTAGTACTTTAATGTTTGAGTCTGTACGTTTCACTTTAGTTCCCACTTTAATTTATCTAGGTTTAATGAATACTTAATAAGAAAACCAAATAATTCAAAATATTAAACTCCTCACTCATGGTGGAAATTCAAGTGCTAGTTCTCCCCATCTGGCAGATCACAGGATCTAGATGCAAATAAGGACGTCGTGCAAAGCTTCAGCTTACACAGGCACAAACTGTGTAGCAAGACCTCTGCTCTCCTTTCTGCAGGTTTACTGGCTTCCAGAGTCTCACTGGAGTGAAGAGGGAAACTCCAAGAGCTTGATTCCCACCTAAAGTGAATTTTCCACTCCACAAGAATTGAGGTTGTTGGCTGGATTTCCCTTCTGGTGTGTTGTAAGTTGTTTTCATCATGTAAGTAAAGAGAAATGGGCTCCCATGGAGAAATGGGGTGTGTCGGTGTATGCAGGAATGTGAGGGCAAGCAAGGAAGAAAATGAATTTTATTCCTGCAGAGATTCTGTAGACTTCTATTCACGGGCAAATGTAAGCAGCTGTACTGAAATGTCAAATGGATTTGTACAGCTGACTCAAGTTGCCAAAAAGAGAGCAGTGTAGTAGTTCCATAAATTGACCCTGTCCAGCCAAGCCCTGCTTAATATAGATCTGGCCTGAGCTTAGCTGTAGTCGCTCCTAGCCACCTAGCAAACACCACTGAGGTTCCTGGGGAAAAAATATCTCAAGGGTGGGTTGACCTGAGACACTTGTTAACTCAGAGAACTTCTTGTGTTTTCTTCCTCCTCTTTTTAAAAATCATCTTTGACTATTTCTTTTTTTTTTAGTGAAATAGAAACAGAAAAAAATGTCAGAGCATAGCAGGAATTCAGATCGAGAATTCCTTGATGAGGAGCTTGATGAAGATGAGATTTTGGCCAACTTGTCTCCTGAAGAGCTGAAGGAACTGCAGTCGGAAATGGAAGTCATGGCCCCTGACCCTCACCTCCCTGTGGGCATGATCCAGAAAGATCAGACGGACAAACCACCAACAGGAAACTTTGACCATAAATCTCGTGTTGATTATATGTATTGGCAGAAGGCATCCAGACGCATGCTGGAAGACGAACGAGTTCCTGTCACCTTTGTACAGTCTGAGGTAACCAGGGATGTGTGTGTGACCCAAGAATGGTGCCGGGGACTGGGCTATCCAGTGTCCATGTTGCAGCTATGATGTCCCAGGACTCCAGGGTTTTGTTCAGGTTTTTTTGGTCACATCTAGATTATATCATAATATTTAATTATCTTCCATTGGCACTTTCTGGAACACTTCGTATATTGTGAATGAAAGGTTGGCCATTTCTTGTTCAGTGTCTGTTCTTAAACCTTACTATAAGGTTTGCTGAGCAGGAAAGCCTATATGCTATAACTATGCTACTTGGAAGCAGTTTTCTTAACTTTTTCTTCTTCTTCATCTTCTTTCTTCTTGGCTCACAGGCCCCTTTGAGAAGATTTGCACCCTCTTTGTCTGGCACATCCATGCACATGAAATATTTCACATCCAGTGTCAAAGATTTCACAGTTCCGTAAGAGTCTAGCCGCACACTGTGGGATTAAATCAGGTCAAATAACCAGAAATGTGTAACATTCCCACCATGCATTGGGTATCAGTGATGCCATTTAGAAACTGATAGCTATTAAGCTGTTTTAAATAGCATTATTTTATCTTTAAAATAATTTATTTTACATTATATTTAGCAAAATAAAACTACACAGAAATTCCAAGAACAAGGAATAAATCAAGTTTCATTTTGGTGAAAAATTTCTGGCAAAATAGAGCACAATGAGACAGGTCTTCCATTTGATTGTCAAAGCACAGTTATAAGGATAGTGTGTTGTTTTGTGGCACTGGGGATTAGATCCAGGACCTCAAGCTTCCTAGGCAAATGCTCTACCCTTGAACTATACCCCCAGCCTTTTAAAAATTTGAGACAGATGCTCACTTAGCAGGCTGGCCTCAAACTTGCAATCTTGCCTTAGTCTCCCAAGTAGCTGGGATTGTAGGCATGTACCACTGCAAGATAGTTCTTTCTGAAAAAAAATTAAAAACTAGAATTTTTGATGACTCTATGAACTTCATGTAAATCAGCATAGTTTTTTTTTTTAATGTTTCACTTAAAATGACTTAGCAAAAACAAAACAGATCCCCCCCAGGCAAAATTTCTTCTGTTATCCCTGCTGACACCAATGTATCTTGTCAGATTACTATCAATCAGCTGTCATTAAGGCAAGTAGTAAATTGGTTTCATAGTCAGGAGAGTTTAAATATATACTGAGCTCAAGAAAATAAATTGCTGACTTGATCAGGTTAGAGCTTATGATACAAATTGTAGACCTTTTACAAGTTGAGGTCAGTGGATTCAAACCCAAGTCTATAGCAGCACCAATTTTAGAGAAAAAAAAAAAAAACACAAGGCTGAATACTTCTACCTGTTTCTTCCTCTGGTATAAACAGCTTGATGGTTGGCTCCCCCTGCTGGGACAGATGAGAAATTCAGTGGAGAAGGCTTTACTTGATTAAACACGCTGTTATCAACTGTCAATTCCAACCTATAATATAAGGGGTGTTTGAAAAAATACAGTGAACGTTGAAATTAAAAATCTTATTACAGTAAAAGGCACATTATCATGGGGTGTGTTTAAAGCAAGAGGGAATATTTTGAGTATTTCAGGGGGATTAATGCCAATGCTTAATTTATTGTAATAAAATTTTAATTTGATGCCATATTTTTTGATGACCCCACATTAATCAACCATTTACAGCAATTTCTGTCAAGTAAAAGCATTACAGTATGCCTTCATCACCTTATTCACTAGATTTGGTATTAAATGACTACTAGATCTTCCCCAAAGCCAAAATGACCATTAGAGGTAAAAATTTTGAATTGATTCAGAACATCAAGGCAGCCACAACAGGACAACTAAATACATGAAAGAGGGCTTCCAGAACTGCTTCAGAAAGTGGCAAGAACAGCGGGGTTGGTGTTTCTGATGTGAGGAGGAATCTTTTGAGGAAAATTAATAGCAATGTATCTTTTACTGTAATATATTTTTTTAAATATAAATACCATATTTTTATCACACCTCACATACATGAGCATTAACTTTTTCTCAGATGCTCCTGAGTCTCTGATTCTAATGACACCTGTAAGTTAGATCTATTGTATACAAGAGCATAATAATTGATACACAAGAATCTAATAAACTTTTTATTTTTAACATTGGAGACTAAACCCAGGGCCTCACACATCCTAGGTAAGCACTGTACTGTTGAGCTGTATCCGTAGCCTTTTTTATTTTGAGGCAGAGGCTCACTAAATTGCCCAGACTGGTTTTGAACTTGTGATGCTCCTGCCTCAGTCTCCTGAGTAGCTGAGATTACAAGCATGCACCACTGTGCCTGGAGACTTGTTCCTAATAAATATTATTGATGGGTTACTGTCATTTGCCTTCCCAGACTAAGGAATTATTTCTACATGTCTGCATGATCTCATTCCATTTTGTAGCTGGCTCCCCTTTCTAGGCACAAAAGAAACAAGGCTAGTGAGGCTGTCTCTGGAGTAGCCACAGTACTTTCCACAAAGCTAATAAGGCAAAATCCAAACCAAGGTTTTTTAAAAAAACATGTTCCAAATTATTAGACTACCCTCATTTTTCCCACATTATATTATATTCCCAGGGAAATTTGATGCACATGTTATATACAATTAGCAGACATTTTAGGAATGTAAATTTTAGTTAGGGCAATAAGGAAATTACTGTGTAACCCAGGGATGTTGAGTACAAAGATGCTTTTTCAGCTATGTATGAGGAATGTATTGAGGAAAAGCTATAAAGTTTTCAAAACAAATAAATTTGTAACTGCTTCTGGAATTGAATGCCATTTTGAAAAACAGTAGGTTTTTTTTTAAACAAAATTAACTAGGTTTTATGTTAATAGAGTTGGTGTCTTGTATCCTCAGGGTCGCCATCCTTAGATTCAACCAAACATAAATCAAAAATAGTTTTTAAAAACTTGAATCTGAGCTAAACATATACAGACTTTTTTCTTTATCATCATTCCCCAAACAATATTGTATAATAATTTACACAGCATTTACATTGTATTGGGTATTGCAAGTCATCTACAGATGACTTAAAGTACCTATAAGAGGGAGGATGTGTATAGTTATATGCAGATACCATGCCCCTTTATAAGGGACTTGAGCACCCATGAATTGGGGTAGTCCAAGGGGTCCCAGAGCCAATCCCCCAGTGATACCAAGGGTATAGCTCTATGTGGGATGGGATAAACAGGTGAAAATGTGTATTTACTTAGATGAATCTATAAAAATTTGTCTTTATTATAGTTGTATTTGTTTATAATATATGCTCTTTGAAAAAACTTTAGAATTAGGTAATGTAAATGTGAAAGGCAGGGCTGGGTGTAGCTCAGTGGTAGAGAACTTACTTGCCTAACATGTACAGGCCTTGGGCTCAATCCCTAGGAAAGGAAAAAAAAAAAAAGTGAAAGTCTTCCAAATGCTTCCCCTCTTCAGACTTTTCTTAGTAGGTATCTCTCTTTCTCAGAAATAGCCACAAGCTTCAAACATTGCAACAGTCTTTTCTATTCCAACAGTTTTTCCCAGTACAGCAATACTGCACATGTAGTTTATTGGCTTGCTTTTTTGCCTAAAATAAATTTTGGCTTGAATTTTTTTTTCATTTAAAATAAACATTTCTCACTTAAATAATTTTATCTCTGGTAGATATTACTGAACTTCATATTTGTTCACTGCTATGTATTCTAACCTTCACAAACCTCTCTTGTAGGAAAACACTCAAGAACATCATGACGAAAGAGACAGAAGTAATAAAAATGTGTCCCAATTTTTAAGAGAAAAGCTCAATAATGAAATAGCTGCAATTAAAAAGGAACCAAACAGCAGCAATGACAGTGAGGGTGAGGAAGACGAAGATGATGCAAGCGATGGCTATGAAGATGATGAAGAAGATGATGGGGAAGAGAGTGATGAAAAGACAAAAAGAGAAGAGGAAATGAAAGCAAAGGAACAAATCAGAAATTGTGAGAGAAACTGCCAGCGGGCAACCTCTAAAGCCTTCAAGAAACAGGCAGACCAACAAGAGGCCCAAGAAAAAAGTGAGAAAAAAATATCAAAATTAGATCCTAAGAAGTTAGCTCTAGATACCAGCTTTCTGAAAGTAACTGCAAGGCCTTCAGGGAACCAAACAGATCTGGATGGGAGCTTGAGGAGAGTGAGACAAAACGACCCTGACATGAAGGAACTCAACCTGAACAACATTGAAAACATCCCCAAAGAGATGTTACTGGACTTTGTCAATGCCATGAAGAAGAACAAACATATCAAAACTTTCAGTTTGGCAAATGTGGGTGCCGATGAGAGTATAGCATTCGCCTTGGCCAACATGCTACGTGAGAACAGGAGCATCACCACACTCAACATTGAGTCCAACTTCATCACAGGCAAAGGCATCGTGGCCATCATGAGGTGTCTCCAGTTTAATGAAACGCTCATTGAACTTCGATTCCACAATCAGAGGCACATGCTCGGCCACCAGGCTGAAATGGAGATATCCAGGCTTTTGAAGGCCAACAATACTCTCCTAAAGATGGGCTATCATTTTGAGCTTCCAGGTCCTAGAATGGTGGTAACTAATCTGCTCACCAGGAATCAGGATAAACAAAGGCAGAAAAGACAAGAAGAACAGAAACAACAGCAACTGAAAGAGCAGAGAAAGTTAATAGCCATGTTGGAGAATGGTTTGGGGCTGCCCCCAGGGATGTGGGAGAAGTTGGGAGGACCCATGCCCAATTCCAGAATGCAGGAGTTCCTCCAGCCGCCTCCTCAGCCTCCCAATACCCAACCAGTTCTCTTTGGCCGAAGAAATGAGGTGATGAAAAAGCCATCACAGCCTCCCCAGTACAAGACAGAACCTGACTCCTTCCGAGTGGTGAAGCTGAAGAGGATCCAGCGCAAATCTCGCATGCCGGAAGCCAGAGAACCACCAGAGAAAACCAACCTCAAAGATGTGATCAAAACACTGAAGCCAGTGCCAAGGAATAGGCCACCCCCATTGGTGGAAATCACTCCCAGAGATCAGCTCTTGAATGACATTCGTCACAGCAACATTGCCTATCTTAAACCTGTAAGTAGAAGGAGGGAAAAATAGTGAACAACCACCACAAGAAATGTATCCCTATTCTGATCCCTGTACATTTTAACACAAGGAGATATTAGTGGTGAATAATTGGGGGAAGCCAGGGAGCATAACCAGTAAGTCTCAATTAGTGGTTAACCCTAAAGACATAACAGCTACGTGACTACTGTGACCATAATATTAGCAGCTAACATTTATTGAGCACTTTCTGTAAGCCAGGATCGTCCTATCAATGGACACATATCATCTTACAATTCCCTAAGTAGGTACCATTATTCTTCCCATTTAAAAAGAGGAGGTTTGGCCAGCAGAGTACTGTAGTGCAGCAGGAGCATGTTGCACCCATGCAAAGAGGAGGCTGAGGCTTCGAGAAGTTACTGACATGTCTAGGAGATGCAGCTGAGAAGTGGTAGAGCTGAGAAGTGGCAATTCTGAGAAGTTCCAGGATCAAAATTTTATTCACCCTGCTGTTCTGCACCCTCCAAGCACATGTGCAAAATGACACCATTCTAGCCACACACAGATGACAGGAGATCCCCTGGGACCTGCTGGGAGGAGTAAACAAGAAGGAGGCCTAATCGAGCCAAGTTTAGAAGTAACTAAAAAAACTGCTAAAGGCAGTTGACTCTGTTTTAGTAAACAAAGAGAGATTACCCACAATTGCATTTATACTCTTCACCTTTATTTTCTTTTGGTGGTGGCAGTACTGGGAGTGAACCCAGTACCTTAGCACTGAGCTACACTCCTGGCCCTTTTTTATTTTTGAGACAGAGTCTCACTAAGTTGCTAAGTTGCCCAGGCTCAGCTCACACTGATGATCCTCTTGCCTCTGTCTCTCAGAGTGCTGAGGTTACAGGCAAGGCCGCCACCCCCAATTTACATTCTTCACTTACTAGGTGGATAGATGAAGGATAAACTTCAGGTTAGAGTCCATGAATCTAAAGAGCTTGAAAATATTTACTGTTACTTCAGTTTTAATATTTACTATGATTCAATATTGCCACTCAGTGAAAAAGTTCTATTCTTTGCAGCAGCTGAGGTTGCAGAAATGAATTTTTGGAGGTCATTATGACTGCACTTACAGAGGCTAAAGGATGTGTGTCTATGTTACATTGCTTGATACTTAACTGTGTTAGTTTAAAATCTTGAGTGTAATTTAGCCAAGAGATTACCTTGACAGCATAGTCAACATATTGTTTCATCATAGAGATTCACAAATTTTTTAAATGATTTAAACAGATTTCCATGCAAGTTGTACTTTTTGTGCTGTAAAGAGCTTTACATTCTAAAATGAAATAATTGTTACTTCCCCAGCACCACATTTAAAAAGATAATTGTTATTTATTCACATACATACATATTTATATCTCTTCTTCCCATCTCCTAGAAATATAATTACCCATATTCCATTTTTTTAATCAAACCTGACTTTCATCTATGACTCAGGGACAGCTTGAGCTTCCCGGGGATCAGCAGTAGGAGAGCACTAGAGGTCACATGAGGTCAGTTGTGGCTCTTCGCTTGGCCTTGGGCACAACTTCAAGACTGCACCTGCTCTTCTCCCAACAGCCAACCCTGGGGTAAATGAGGGTGTTTGAGTTAACTAACACTCCATCATTTCTTTCATAATCTGTCTTTGGCAAAGAATATCTTAGCCACCTTGATGGCTCTAAGTCGGGAAATAACTGTCTGAACAGAATGATCCAGTCTATCTTAGAATCTGTGTGAAAGGTGGCATGTAGATTCAGAGCAGAATAAGTAATGGAGTTCAAACAATTATCTGAGCCACCTCCCAGATTTCTGAGGGAAGGTTCTCTGAGAAAATCCACTTTCCTTGAGTCTATTCTATCCCATCTGTTCATTTATTCATTAATGCCGCCAGTGTTTGTTCATGTGAAAGGGGCAGGGATAACATACAGTAAGGCAGGTGCAGTCTGTACCTCATGGAGCTAACAATGTAGGTTTTATATTTTTCAAGGTTAAAGCTCTTTCCCTTTTACTTATCCGAGAAAGTTTCAGCTTTGAGTCTAAACCCTAGAGCACATGACATTAAAAGAAATTCATGCTGATATTTGCAAGAATGCAACACCCTACTAAGTACTAAATTTTTCATGTTTTAATCAATTATAAAACGTTCTCAATTTTAATTGTCTGGTTTATAAATTAAGAAACTGAAACATGTTGCAAACTAAAGCATTACATGCCTTTTGAGTGATAGTCTTGCATCTGCCTTTGAAATGGCTTAGTTAAATTAATAGAAAATTAAATTAATAGAAATTGCTAATTTCTTCTGCTTTCATTTGCCTGGCTTGGCCTGTGATACCTGTGTTTTCGCATGTATTTCACAAATGTCACACAACTTCATCTACTTGGTCTTGCAAAACACTATACAAGAAAAATATGAGCCAAATATGGTGGCATACACCTGCAATCCCAGTACTCTGGAAGGCTGAAGTAGGAAGATCTCAAGTTTGACCCCACCCTGAGCGACTGTGGAAATTGGTGAGATCCTGTCTTAAAGCAAAAAATAAAAAAGGCTTTGGGATGTAGTTCAGTGTGAAGGCCCTGGGTTTGATCCCCAGTTAAAAAAAAAAAAAGGCCAGACTGTAATCCCAGAACTTCAGAAGCTGAGGCAGGAGGATCGCCATGAGTTCAAGATCAGCCTGGTCTACATAGTGAGTTCAAAGCCAGCCTGAACTACATAGTGAGACTCTGGCTCAAAAAAACAAAGCAACACCAAAAAAAACAAAAGAAAAAAAGAAAGAAAGAAAATGTAAAAATGCCTCATTTGCTTTACTAACATCATCTTGCTCCCTGCTGCCCTGTTTCCTTGCCTTTCTACGTACATAGTAAATATCTGCTTGAAAGCCAAGTCATAGCGTAATCTTTTAAAATACATTTTCCTTTTTTTGGTACCAGGGATTGCACTCAGGACCTTGTGCTTACAAGGCAGGCGCAGTGCCACTGAGCTAAATCCCCGGCCCCGACATTTTACTTTTTTTATCTTTGAAATAATTTTTGACCAACGGAAATTCAAAAATAGCACAACAAATTTTTACATACCCATCACATTTTACCACATTTGCCTTACCTTTCTTTAAAAACCATTTTAAGTTGTGAAGCACGTGCATATGTGTTGCCCCAACAGGGTGTGTAACTCTTCAGGGGTGGTGATAGAATGCAGAGTTGTGATGTGTGCACCCTTACATCTGTGGCCAACTGATGTAAAACACCATGAATTTTAAGATGCATTCTGACTTCTTAGCTGGGAAAACATCACAAACATGCCTCATAGACTTAATGAAATTTTTCAAACACCATGAGTGGTCATGTGACATCCTAAGAGAAAGGGATATTTTTGGTCCTTCCCATAAAACATAACAAGAATCACTTTATAGAGGTGAAATGAAAAGTTTATGGCCCTGGGGGCACAGATTCCCTCCAAGTCCCTGAATTTTCAAAAATAAGGTTAAAATTAACACTCAATTTTGAAATCTTGTTTTTTTAAACTAATCTTCTTGGGCCGGGGATTTAGCTCGGTGGTTCCTCCACCTGCTTCGAAAGCACGGGGTCCCGAGTTTGATCCCTGGTACCAAAACAAAACAAAAAAATAAACTAATGTTCTTAATGAGAATATTGACTATTTAAAACACAGCTAGAAATGGTTTATTCTTGGAAAACTTTAAAAAATATTTTTCTCTATAGACTTGGAAATACTAATTTTGAGCACATTGCAAGAATTAGTTTATATTTTTAAAATTATTTTTTCATTGTGATGCTAATTCTCTTCCCAAACCCATGCTTCTGGCTTTGGATCCCTGAAATGAAGTTCCCCAAAATCTGAATCTATACTTGCTTAGTTCAAATGCGAGCTCTTATAAGAAATGACCCATCCAACTCAGTTCAAGAGAACTATCTTCTGTAGGCCAGGTATCAAAAATTGGTAGATACAGGATGAGGGATTTAGCTCAGTGGTCCCACCGCCTGCCTCGCAAGTGCAAGGTCCTGAGTTCAATTCCCAGTACCAAAAAAAAATTGGTGGATACAGGCCAGGTCTGCAGACCTGCTTTATTTGGCTTAAATGTTATAGCCTAAGTTTCAAATGTCTCATAAAAAATTCTAAACAGGGCTGGGGATTTATCTCAGTGGCATTCCACCTGCCTCACAAGCACAAGGTCCTGAGTTCCATCCCTGGTATCCGGAAGAAAAAAAAAATCTAAATATCTGGTGTCCCTTGAAACATCACATCTGACCATTCTGGGTTTATATTTACATAACACAAATCAGCTGCTCTGTCTGTGTGTGTGTGTGTCTGTGTGTGTGTGTGTGTGTGTGTGTGTGTGTGTATGGTACGTGGTGCTAGGGCTTGAACCTAGGGCCTCACCCAGGCTAGGCAGGCAAGCTCTGTCAAGTCAGCTACTTCTGTATCTTGGCTTCTCCCTTGAGATGGACGCAGCTGCTCCAGTATTTCTTCTTATACCTTCCATGCTTCATTCATTTACTTAGTTGGCTCCTGAAGAAATTTTTAGTTTTCTCGTTTTTTTTTTTTAAATCCTTTTCCTTTCTAACAAAGTGAATTTATTACATAACAACTAATCTCTTTCCCTATGAGTTAATAACTCTTAACAGATGTGATACCAGAACCAAGCATTTTTTGTACAAGCTTTTCCCTCCCTGACAAAGGTACAGTTTTCTTTTCTCTTCCAAAATGTCATGGCTCTCACTGGAGGGTGTTTGTACTTTTCACTGAGGTGCAATCCCATTTGCCGCAGCTCTTGCCTTCACCAAGGCCAACTGCAGTTACAGCAAAGCCAGGCTTCTGCACCCAGATCATGACCATTTTAGCAGCCACTTCCTTTTACTTTGGGCTCACTGACAACAGTGCTAAATTTCTCCTTCAGGAGGACCTCAAGATAATGTCATATGCAACCTTTGTTTTCCAAAAACTTCCATGATGCCTTTGTAGTTGCTATGATTGCAGAATTTATAGACTTGAGCCTCTGACCTTGTCTCTTGTCCATTCTTCTTTGCTCCATCTTTAACCAGCTTCTCTAGATTGTATCCTTTTGCAATTTTCTTTCCTGTTGTCTGTCTCCTTTCGTGTCAATATCACATCGTCTAGGACAAGACCCCAATTTCCTTTTCCCTCATTGTCAACTTCTTTTTTTCTGTACCCCTGGCCCGTTTTTTTGGTTTTTGTTTTTTTGCAAAACTCTTTTTCTTATTAGTACATATTTGTCTTACACAATGATCACATTCATCATAGGGAATTTGAACCTGTATATAATATGTCTTAATTCTTTTCTTCCCCAGTCACTTCCTCTCTTTTCAACTCTTCTTCCCCTCCCCATTTACAAAAGCTTTGTTTCCATTTTTTCCCTTCCATTCTCTCTTTTCTTAAAATCCCGTTCCCTTCCTTTCTTTCCCCCTTCCCCTCCCTTGTTCCCCTTCCCATTTGAACATGTTCTTCCTACTTCCCAGTATCTATCTTCCTTTTGCTCCTCATGTACCCTTTGGGTTTCTCCCACAAGAGAAACAATAACCCAGGTGTGGTGGCACATTCCTGTAATCCCAGCACTCATGAGGCTGAAGCAGGAGGATTGCAGTAAATTCAAGGCCAGCCTGGGGTACACAGTGAGTGCCTGAACTACATAGTGAGACCCTGTCACAAGAGGGGAGAGAGAGAGAGAGAGAGAGAGAGAGAGAGAGAGAGAAAGAGAGAGAAATGAAGTATTTAAACTTGTGTTTCTCATTTACTTCAATTAAAATTATGGTCTCGAGGTGCATCCATTTACCTAAAAATGATTCGTTATCTATCCTTCTCTACCCCTTTTTCTTGTCACTGAAAAGAAATCAGAAGAATCTACAAGAGTCAAAGCCAAATGTAAATCATAACTTTGAAAATGCAGTGGTTCTTATAAAGGGAGATGCTCTGGAATAAAGCACTGTAACATCTCAAGCTCCTGTCAAAGAGCTTACACAGTCTAGGAATTGTGTGAACCAGAAATTACCTTCCCCTGGAATGTAACGGCTTTGGTAAACAACTGCTCTTAAGTCTGTGGCCCATCCCAGACTCTGATTCAGTAAGTCAAGACCTGAGATTCTGCATTTCTGATCGATTCCCTAGTGCACTGATGCTGCTTCCTTGTGGGCTACATTCTGACAATCAGGACCTTATGACACCCTTGGCAACCACACCCGACACTTTTCCACGGAGAGCCTTGCTTTTCTGCCTCCATTACACTCTCTGCCTCAAGTTGATTTTTCTTCTATCTGTTGGAATCTATCCAGTGTCTGAGGCTTGTCTTGAGTACTACTCCTTTCACACAGAATCAAAGCAAACACTGATCATGTATGAGGAGTGATCAAAATATACAGTGAATGTTGAAATTTTTAAAAATACAGTAAAATAGACATTGCCATGAGTCTCCCTCAAATTACTACTTTTCCCTTTGAACACACTTATCCCACTGTCCTTGCTACTTTATGAAGCAGATCTGGAAATCTGTTTTGTGAGTTCTGAGGTTGAGCTGCTGTGGCTGCCTCATGTCCTGAACAGACACAAACAAAATGGTCTCAGAACACATGACCTGCACTAAATAATCCCTGCTGAAAAGGTCTTCCCACCCAGGCTTTATGAGTGTGGACATATGTGTGTACTGTGTAATGGACACACATACACATGCACGCCACACACTCTCTTTTCACTTCTTTTGTTGTTGTTGTTGTTTTGAGACAAGGTCTCTCTATGTAGCTCAGGCTGGCCTTGAACTCATGGCAGTTCTCTTGCCTCAGCCTCCCAAGTGTTGGAGTTACAGCCATATGCCACCTCATTGGATTCTACATACACTCTTTTTAAAAACTAATTTTAACAAATGAAAAGCCAAAGAACTCCCTAGTGATAATACAAGTTGATTCTTTCCCATTTGAAAAAGCTAGCTGTTTTTTTTCCTCCATGGTTTTTGTCATTCTGCTTGTAAAAGGCTTCTCTGATTAAATTATATAGTTAGTTTTTCTTACAACTTTATAGTCTCTAGTTATTAAAAACATTTGATATTACAGATTAATTAGATGGTTAGATTTTAGAAGTAAATGGGAAGCAAGGAGTCTACTTTATTATTTCTCTTTCAAACCGTTCACTAAAGATCATTTTGTGACTCATTCATCTTTACCCCAGTGAGCTGAACTGGCAGCTTGCTCATATTTGGTTTATTATGCTGGGTCTGTGTCACATTTTGCTTCTTAAAATATAATTCTGGAACACTTCAGTAATATAAGCACATATAAAGATCCACAATACAAAGATCACTTTGTTTTAGCTATTTATTGCAATTTTTCAGTTATTTTAGGTACCTGGTATATTTTTTGGTTCATTGTTCTTCTTTATTATGTGTTTTTCCCGAATGAGCAGCCACATCCCTTCCTTTGTCGGACGAGGCAGGACAGAGCAGCTGGAAGGTCCCTAGGCTTGAAGGCAGCAGCATACAGTACCAGTGTCCTCTGGTGGGCAGTGTGCTGGGAAACATTCCTGGCCAAAGGTCATGGGCAGAGAAGTGGCTGCAGGAGGAGCCATAACCGATGGCCACAGTGGTTTGTCACACTGGCAGATGGACTTGGGAAGGAAGGGAGAAACAGTCTTGGTTGTTGTTATACCAACTCTGAATGCCCTTTTAACCTCTTCATTGTCTTCTGGAAGGTTATGGATGAGTGCTTTCCTAAGATATAGTGCACTTGAAACCCTCGAGGAACTTGACTTTAAGCTGTTCCTATGACACAGATGTAGGAAGTAGATGTGCAGAATTGGATTTAAGTCACTCATAGGTTTTGCATCTGGGGGGGGGGTCACCAAATAATATTTTAAATCTTACTGACCATCAAATTAGGAATGTGGCTCAAAGAGGAAAGATCTATTTTTAAAAGTACATGTATCTTTTTGAGGGGTGGTATTTCCATATGCAGTATATAGTCATGGATACTGTAATCAGACAAATCTGGTCACATCCTGCTTTGCCACTTCCTAGCTGTGTCACCTTTAGAAAGTTAGTGTCTTCTCTGAGTCTTTTTCCTCCTTACAAGGCTATTGTAGGATGTAGTGAGATAATTTTTTTAAAATAAAGGTTAACATTGATTATTCTGTTATTGTCATCACACAGCTGAAAAAATTGATGCCCAACACCAACTGACTAGTAAATGCTAGTGCCAGGTTTTGAACTCAGGCTGATTCTAGCACCTGCCCTCTTGTTTCTGATATGCTTCACCACATGGTAAATGACCCTGAAATAGTCCTTGGCATTCAGAAATACCCAGTGCATGGTGGCTGCCATGGTTGTTATTTTGTCATGATTTTGCAGGGCTCTCGGGCTAGGATTTCAAATCCATTCTGTATCCATGTCATTTTTGCTATACTGTGCTTGAATTCCAAGGATTGACTTTTCCCTTTTCTTTAAATGTTTAAATCACAGGTGCAGTTGCCAAAAGAACTGGAATAAGAGGTGGCAGAATCATCTGGAAGAACAAGAAGTTGAAACAATGACTCGTAGGTTAAGCATGGAGAGGATTTCGGCAGCGGCCCTTCTGCATACAGGAGGCAGAACTGGGAACAAGCTAACATCTGAGAGGGGTAAAAAGCACAATGTTTGGGCCACAACAAAATATGAGCAGAGGAAGGCAGGAGGAGACAAAAATAGTAATAGTCACAGGCAAGATTTTCTACTTGCAATCAGTTTGAGTGACTTAGGTGAAATTTGGAGTCATGTTTCCAGAAGCAGAAGCTAAAAAATGTTCTTGTAAACATTCGCTTTACTATTGCTTTTTTCTGGTGAATAATAAATAAGACAGAAGTGTTAACCATTTATCATATTCCCAGTTTTACCTCTTCCATCTCCTCTGCTGTAATTCACTGCACAGTATCTTAAAGGGAATGGGTCATGTTTCAACCTATGGAAATGTGAAGAATGAATCAAACTCCCGGTCCTTCTGCAGCTCTGAAATGAAAGGATTGCTTATTAGCTTATCTCTGGAGAATCCCCAGAGCTTTCATTTCCAACCCTGCCTAGCTTTCTCCCTCCTGACTCTCCTTAAGTTTTGGTGTGTTCTTCTGCTAGGAGTATCTGTGAGGAACAGAGCACTAAAGTCACAGGATGTGAAGAAAAAAAGTGCCAGCAGAAAAACTGTGAACAAAGTAAACTCCGTATATAGGAAGTATGACCCCAAAAATGTAAGAAGTGTTTAAATTAAAAAAAAATTTTTTAAAGTGCCTGGCATGGAGCACATACCTTTAATTCCAGCACTGGGGAGGCTGAAGCAGGAGGATTGCTGTGAGTCCTTACCAGCCTGGGCTCCATAGTGAGTTCAAGGTCATCCTGAACCACACAGTAAGACCCTGTCTCAAAAAAACAAAACAAAAAAATTTTTTTTAATAAAATGAAAAAAACTTTTAAATGCCATTATCTCCTCTCCACTACTCCCCTTTGCTTTCAACATATGTGCCCAGTGTTTTTTGCCACTTTCTGAAGTCCTTTTTTGTGAGTGTCTGTCCTGAATTGACTCAAAACATTTATGGCAATTTCTGTCAAATAAAAACAATATGGAATGTCCTTGTCCACCTTACTCACTGAATGTGGTACCATGTGACTCCTGGCTCTTCACTGAAGTCAAAATGACCATGCAAGGTAAAGGTTTTGAATGGATTAGGACATCAAGGCAGCCATGACACTCTCGAAAGAAGATTTTTAAAAACTGCTTCAGAAAGCAGCAAGAACCATGGTATGTGTGTTCAAAGCAAGGGGGAAGATTTTGAGGGGGATTAATGACAATAAATTGAAACAATTTAATCATGCATTTTATTGTTTGATCATACCTTATGTAAACGTTTCCTGCCAGTGTTTCCCATATATAATGACAACAGGAGCTATTGCTGTTTTGTAGAAATAAATTAGAAGAATAGATAATACAGCTACCAACAAGCTTTTGATAGTCGAGGAGTCTAATTTGATCTTTGTTGTGTTCCTCAAAAACCTTCTAAAGGAAGCTTGCTTACAGGATTAAACTCCTTATCCATCCTTTAGGACACTCCATTGCCTGGCACCAATGTACTTACTCATCCAGTCTTACCCACCACTTATCCTTTAAATTCCTCTTGATAAACCAGCCTTCTACACACCCAGTGCCTCTCCTCTCTCTGCCCTGCTACAGACCCACCCACCCAGGTATTTCCCTCGTGTCCTCTGTGTGTGAAAGCCCATTCCATCTTCAAAGCCAGGTCCTACCCCATGTCCTCCAAAAAAAAAAAAAAAATAGTTCCAAACAACTCCAACCTGCATTCTTTCCTCCTAAGTTCCTACAGCACTTAATTATCTGTCCTAGGCCTTAGCTGTGTAGATTTTTGAGATTTTATAATAATAGAAGTGATATGAACCTAGGAATCAGGAAATCAAGCTTTGGCAATTTTTCTGTCTCCTTTACCTGAATGAATATGGCACCTGCCTTCTTTCTACTTTTGTGGAATCAGAAGTGATACATGACAGGCAAAGCAGGCTGGGAGAGGATAGCTGTAATGGGGACAAACTTAAAACAATACATTATTTGGAAGGATAAGTCAAGAGAAAGAAATATGGTGTTTCTAGTTTTCAAAGATAATTTGGTGTGTACAAAAGTAGCCAAATATAGATAGTTATGATTTTCAGGCAAATAATTAGCTGATAGCTTTGTTTTCTCCTCTAATATGTCTAGAAAATATCCTCATATACAAGCAGTTTGGTTAAGAAAGGGCTTCAAAAAATAAAACTTTTTACTCTGATAAGACAAAGCACTCTAAGCATATTTAAAAGCGTAATATATGTTAGTAGTTGAAGTTCTGGAAAGTCCTGTGAATTTGCCTGTTCAGCCACAGTATTTAAAAAGTCAGGAATTTTAAGAAGTACTAGTAGTCCTGAAAGAGGATTTTAATCCTAGATATACTAAAAAATATATATATATATGTAATTTCGTGTGGAAAGAGAAGTGTTTCACATTATATTTTTTCTATTCACATTCCTGTCTCATGAGTTCAAGGCCAGCACGAGCTACATAGTGAGCTCAAGATCAGCCTGCATTACAAAGTGAGACCTAGTCTCAAAAAAGCAAAAAAGTATTATCAATTGGTAACAGTCATATATTATGATTTTTCTATGATTATCTTTCCAGAACTTACCACTGGCCACTAGATATAATGAGGATCTTTTAAAATTCAATTTGTCACTTTCTTCAAATGTATGGCATTTAGTTAGTAGCATACACTGTACAGAACAATGGAGCAGGCTAAAATGTACATGACACCAAGATCAGGTCTGAAAGACGATCCCATTGGAATTCAATGTTATCTATGGCTGTAAGGCATAAAGTGTTAAGGTTTTTAAAAGAGTATTTGGAACACAAGCTAAGAGCTCTTGCTGTGTAGTACATCCTCATGGTTTCTAGTGTTGTCACTGAGTTTTTCAGATGTTTAATATAGATGGCATTAAATAAAGTCTCACCAAAAAAGCCCTTTAATAAATTTTATTCTTCATATTTGGGTAAAGATACAGATTCTAGTCCATGTTTGAAGGCATGGTGATATCACCGTGCTAAAGATAAAGACTGCAGATTGGCTGAGAAATTAAAATGCAAGAAAACTCAAGAGCAGCAAATGCCATTGGTTTTTATTCTAGGACAGACAGAGTTTCTTTACCCTCATTGTCTTCACAATGCAATGCAGGAAAACCTAAATGTTTTCCACTTCACTTATGAAATCACTCAGTTGGCAAGCAAATTAATAATCTATTTCTAAACACATGGAAAATAAAGGGATGAGTGAGAGTAATGAAATACATAAACTCATGCTATCTCAATTTCAATGTTTATCTATGAAAGCATACGGTTATAACAATTGTTATCTAAAATCTTCATGAATTGCAGAAGCCAGCGATCATTCCCATTTTTAAAAGGTTTTTGGGCTTGGTCATCTAAAGATGCTTTTTAAATTTTAAAAGATCAGCTATTATTGTCCTCTTTGTGCCCCTAAGGAATTAATAAAAATGCACATTCATTTCTTTCAAAATACTCCAGTTAAAAGGAAACAGTGAAAAACATACGGAAACATTGCCTTGAACACCTTTTCTTCATGATAACAACAAAAAAATGTGCAATATAAACAGAACTCAAGTTCAGTTTTATTTTTTTGTTTGTTTTTTCAATGTCAGTCAAGGATAATACTGGTTACACAGCTGTAACCTCCTGAAGGAAGATGACAAAATTTGCAACAAATACCTGCTGGTGAACACACATTATTACCATTTCAAAAATTTACAAAAATTTAACAGAATATTCTCCTGAACAGCTATCTTTACATTTGTAAACAAAGTATAAACAACTGGCTTATCCAGTTAAACTGCAAGTCAAACAGGCAGCAAAATGTTAGAATCATCTTTGATTTTTAAAGAGTAATAATACAAACTAAACTAACCGATACCTCACACATTACAATCCTAGGGAATTTTGGAGAAGGTGCCAGGAGGGATTCAAAACAGGCTAACACACCATGTCATCCACTTTGACAGCCTTTTCTCTTTTTATTTATTTATTTTTCTTTTCCTTTGATAGCCTTTTTATTGACTCGTATTGCCTTGATCTTTTACAATTTTTTTTTTCCTATGAGATAGCAGTATTGTTGCTGGAGAATCCATGGTTCTCTTTCATTACCACACTGGAAACCTCAGACAACAACAGGAGGGTGGTTTTCTTTCGGTAACATCAGAGATGTTAAAGAGTGCGGCCTGCGTGTGCATGCTGCTATAGGTAGTTGGGTGGTAAAACGTGCACCTCCTATTCAAAAACACAAACAAAAGGTAGATCTGGACAAGGAGAAATTGCAACTCATTTTCTGCTGCAACCCTATGCCCAGGTAAATGGTTTATTCCTTCACTTTGCTGATATAGTCAGTGAATTTGCTGATGCTTTCCTCCTGCTGTTCCAAGGCCTCCAGGATAATGCCCATTGGCGTTCTCTTCACACCAATTCCCTCCATTTTATTCTCCAGCTTGTTCTTGAGGTTCCGAAGTCTCAAGGACGCATGGATGAACATCACTACAAAGAAGTGGACCATAGTTAGCACCAAAACAAGAATTCTCTTTTGCCTCCATTGTATTCCCTCTGGCTCTTCCCACTGCCAGTCCACTGCCTCGGTTAGCTGTGGTCCAATTTGTTTCTCTTATTGATCTATGCAGTCAAGCACTGAAAAATTGGGAAGAGAATCTAGTGTCACACAAATGCGGAGCCCAATAGCAGTTTGTGCTACATGGCTTGAGATCTATCTTGGTTTTATTTATTCTTATCTGATACAAATGTCTGATGACAGCAAGTATCCATACTTATTTGTGGATTTAATGAACGCCTTCGTCTGTCTGCGGTTTTGGAAAATTCTGCAGACTTTAGCAGACATGCCAATACACATAAGTAGTGGGTTATATAACTCCCATTGCACCTACGTTTCTTACAATGCAAGAAAAAGAAAACTCAGGTTCACTTACACAACAAAGGAAAAGTGATCCCAAACACAAAGACCATGACTCCCCCAAACATGGATATGAGAAAGTAGCTGGCCAACATGACCACCATCACGAATGTGGTGGGATACTGCTTCTTCATCCGGCGGAGGATGTCTTTATTATGGGCCGCCCACACGAACCCTGTGAACACCAGCACCACCACAATTCCTCCAAGGATCATGTTGAAGGGGCTCAGAAACCTGGAATAGGAAAAAACAACAGGGAAACTCCCTCAGCAGTAGGAGTAGCAGGAGGAAGGAGACCAGGAAGAGGAGTAAAAACAATTACTGAGTACTTACTAATAAGCACTTTACCTAAATTGGAACATTAAGTCCTCCTAATGTTAAGTAGATATAATTAATTCATTCCTCAAATGAAGAAACTTAGCTTCAGAGATTAGAAAATGGTGGGAGCAGTGTGACTCCCACCAAACTGGTCAGTCTATCTTACTAGAGGCTGACAATTTTGAAAGTGAAAGCTCCTCTTTTGTGTGTGTGTGTGTGTGTGTGTGTGTGTATTTGTGTGTGTTACTGGAAATTGAACCCAGGACCTTCATAATGAACTACGTCCCCAGCCCTTTTTAAATTTTTTTATCTCCAGACAGGGTCTCGCTAAGTTGTTAAATTGCCAAGGCTGGGCTCAAACTTAAGATTCTCCTTCCTCAGACCCCCAGACTACAAGCCTGTGCCATCACACAGGCTATCAAGCTTATTTTGAAAGAGTTGTGTCTAACTTTCACACTTCCTGGGCTCTAGCACACAGTGAATGGGCTGAATTTTCTTAGCTCTAAGGACATATTTCAACTTCATAAAAGTTGTCATGATGGAGGAATGTAGTGGAGAGGCCACACGACTGCCTCCCTGGTCCAGAACCAGTCTACAGTCACATACAATGTTTGAAAACTAACTTGAATCCTTATGTGAGAAAAAAAAAAATCTGTAAGACCTGGGATTTCTTGCTGGAAAAAGAAAATCTAACTTCACTAGGCCTACTTTTCCATGTGTTCTTTTTCAGACAATGAATGGTCTCCATTTTGTTACACCCCCGACCTCTCTCTACTGTATCCTTAGTACGGGGATCCAAAGTGAATGTCCTTGGTTGTTGCTTTTCTAACAGCTGGCCCCTATGGCTTTCTTACATACCCTGCCTGCCCTATGGAGGCATTTCAGTTTGAGTCCTGACATAGAAAGGCCATTTTCATTTTTTCTTACTTTATTTTTGTACTGAGGATTGAGTCAGGGCCTTCCCACAGCCGTTTTTATAAACAAAAAAAAATTATTTTAAGACAGAGTCTCATTAATTCACCAAGTTACCCAGGCTGGACTTGGATTTGTAATCCTGCCTCAGCCTCCCAGAGTGCTGGGATTATAGACAGGTGCCACCCCACCTGGCTTAATTAATCAATCTTTCATAAAGCCCAAAACATCTCAAGGAGATGAGTTGTCAATCCAAATTCCCAAGCAATATGGCCTTCAGACTCATTGTTATATGAGCCAAACATCCTTCTTAAGTGATAGCAATCACACTGGTCTTAATGATGGGGGAAACACTTAATGAAGAAGAAATCTGGATAAACTATTTCACAAATGAGAATGACTGGGCATTGCAATCCTCCATGCCAACTCGCTGTGCAGACGACATCCTTATTAACAAAATATTTGCAGTGGGCAAGTAGGATGAACAGTGAACTTTTCATTCTAGAACCTAATGAGGATTGTCTTGGGGGTGCACAAAGAGGGTCAGAGGGTTTTCACTGTACTTACAGTCCACAAGACGGATTGGCAAGTGAAGGATGGGGAAGGTGATGTCCAGAGTCACCCTTCCCTGATGCAGAATGGATAAAGGATTCTGACTGATATTTGGATTCATATTTAGGATAACCACAATTCTTTTTTTAAAGAAATGCCTTTAAATTTTAGCTCTTATTCTGCCTACTGAAACACATATGCTATTTTAAAGTTTTAAATAGAGTAGAAATTTTCCACACCTTACTGGGTGAAATCAAGTGATATAACCAATGTAAAACTGCTTTCAAAAAGTTAAAAATTTCTACTAAAAAACAATTAAACAGTGGCAAGAGTAGTAGAATATAATTTCATACCAAACCCTATAACAATTTACTTATTTCATTCAAAACCCTTGTAAATCCTTCAAGCCAATAAATATCTTTCTCAGAATATAATCTAGGGAAATAAATAAAATTGCAAAAGTTGAGATGTACCAGTGTTCATATCCATGGCATTTATGAGTAAAAATGTTTAGAAATCACCTGTATGGCTTGGAGGAGGCAAGGAGAGGCAGGCTGGCCAGAGAGAATCTGTAGGCTGAGCTGGGAGCCAGGTTTGGGTTGGAGAACAAAGCTTCACAGTGGCAATCTGAACTGAAATCCCTTCAATGACACTGGAGGGATGGGCCAGTGGAGATGGACTATTGTGCCAGGCCTGTGCCAAGCCTGGGTTGTAGGTTGAAGTGTGGTATAAACAGCTATTTTTTTTAAAAGGTGAAGTACACTTAATAGAATGAAAGACATTAATGATGCATTGAGTGGGTAAAAACAACTATAATACATTCTTTCTATTAGAAAGAATATGTGAGATAGCCCAGAAGTAGAAAATTTAATCATTTGTAAATTATTTTGTAATCAGAAATAAAAGGACCATATCAAAAAGAAAATATAAAAGCAACTATTCCTCCCCCAAGCTCTCCCCAACACTCAACACACAAGCTTTTCTGTCCGCCGGCCCTCCCTTCCCCACAGTTGTTTTACCTCGGTCTACTTAGCCTCCCTGCACTTTTATGTCATCTGGGTTATAACTTGTCTCCTGATATAAGCCTGGATCTGATCTAGGAAAGACAAAAATTTCTCTGCAGGCCTGAAAAAAGAACAGAATCAAGCAGGGCAGAAATAGTTATCTTCTTGTTGGGCGTGGTAGCACATTCCTGTAATCCTAGCACTTGGGAGGCTAAGGCAGGAGGATCACTGCAAGTTCGAAGCCAGCCTAGGTTACATAGTGAGTTCAAGGCCAGTCTGAACTACATAGTGAGACTCTGTTTCAGAAAACCAAAAAATTAAAAATAAATAAGTAGGGGCCAGGGACTTAGCTCAGTGGTTCCAGCGCCTGCCTCGCAAGCGCAAGGTCCCGAGTTCGATCCCTGGTGGTACCAAAAAAAAAAAAGAGAGAAAAATAAATAAGTAAATAAATAAAACTGTATCCTCTTGAACAGGTGGTAGGAACTCTGAGTAAAAGAGGCCCAGAAATTCTCCCAGATTCAGTCCTGACACCAAAAAGAATCTGAGAGTAATCAGACTAAAAGACTACGGTAGGAACATATTGGGTAGTTTACTCCCATTTCTTTCCATTTGCATATTTTTCCAACGGCCATGTATTATTTGAATAATTAAAATCACCTAGCCAGGGATAGGGACACATGTCTATAATCCCAGCACTTGGGAGGCTGAGGCATGAGGTTCATTAGTTCCTGGACTACATAGCAAGACCCTGTTTCCCAAAAAAAGCAACACTTGATATTTAGAAATGATAAATGAAATTGGGGAAAGGTTACTGATTGAAATATACCCTTTTACAGAAGCTTTAACATAGACCACACCCAAATATTTCTTACCTGTAAAGAAAAGCAAAGGTAAAAATTAACACAAAGAACTAAAACAGAGGGTTAAAGTCTAAGGAAGTCTTTTGTCCAAACTGCAAATAGGAAATGGTTGGTTGGCAGCAAGGCATCAAAGGTCTCATACTCAGTTCTTTCTAAAATATTAAAACAGTAACTCTTGAAGCAGACACTAAAATTCAAGATGATTTTGTCTTCCTCTGGACAAGTGAAGTACACATCTAGGTTAAATGTCTATCTAAATAAAGATCAGTTCAAAGAACAATGAAACTCTAGGCCTGACTCCAGCAATTCCAAATTTGCTTTTCACCTGTTCCTGTTGCTCATGTTCAGGGGGAAAGAACAGAGCACGGGCTCCTATAGAACTGGTTTTAGCTTACAGCATGCCCAGCCATCATCTATAATTAGAAAGTAACCAAGTTTCCAAACTGAAAAAAATTAACAAAGTTAATCAGAGGAGAAATGATTTTTTTCCATGTTCTGATTACATCAATTCCATTCTGAGACAAGGTGAAATGTATACCAATGCCCCAGTACTCACTTGCACTTGGAGCAAAACACACACACACACACGAAATTAATTTCATTTTCCAGTGAGTGCGGGAATGAGGGGAGCAGTCCTTGTCTGAAATGCTTTTAGCTAACAGCTGGGCTGTTAGTCATATGAGTTGAGACAAAACCTAAGAACTTTTCAGGATGAAAGTTTCCATGAATGTACTACTCATCTTCATGTGGACAGCTGTCCCTGGGCTGTGCTGGGTGGAGCCCCACTCACTGGTAGTTCTGGTCTAAGAAGGGAGGATGAGAGGGAGAGAAGTGTGGGAAGACTAAAGGTGGGGGAGGATAAAAAGGGAAAGACGGAACTCTTAATTTTTCTGTCCTTGGTGGATACAGGATCTAGTTATGCAAATCCAAAACATTAAATATGGTTTCTACTGTGAGATAAAAGGATATATAAATATATATATATATAAATTACCCCATTCCAATAAATAAATCCTATATTGTAATAGTTGGAAATTATAGTGGAGTCATTTATGGTTGCAAAAACAAGTTTAGAAACCAATCACAAGTGTTTTTTTTATTTTGCTCTTTTGAGACAGGGTCTTGCTATGTAGGTTCAGGCTGGCCTTGAACTTGCTATGTAGCCCAGGCTGGCCTCAAATTCATGGTGCTCCTCCTGCCTCAGCCTCCCCATTGCTGGGATTTCAGGCATGCTCTAATGCCTGGCTTTTTTTGTTATTGGCAGTGGTGGTGGTAGTGGGGATTAAACTCAAGGCCTCTGTACTGAGCTACATTCCCAGCCATTTTTGTGTTTTTTATTTTGAGACAAGGTCTCATTAAGTCACTGAGTTGGCCAAGATGGCCTCAAACTTACTATCCTCCTGCCTCAGCCTCCAAGAATGCTAGGATTATAGGCATGACCCACTGTACCTGGCTTATCACAAACTTTTGTTGCAGAGTCTTAAAGGAGGAATCAGCATAGTCCCATTATACAGATGAATAGTCAAAAGGGTCCAGGGGAGAAAAGAGAAGAGTGCTCGTTGTACAGCAATTCACACCGTAACCCATT